TCCCCAATTCCACTGGGGGGGGGGGTGAGTGAGCAGCTGTGTGGTGCTTAGTTACTGGCTGAGGTTAAACCGCGACAATTTCAATTACCAACTCCTTGAGGAATGTCCTGAATGCCAGCATCTCCTGCTTAATACCATCCTGCAGCTATTCCCCTGGTGTGGTGGTAGTACTGGACATCTGGCCATAAGCCAGAGACCTTTAATCCTGTCTCTGTAGAATTAGCATGATTTTGTTGGAAAACTTCGTTAGAAATAGTATTTTTCTTCCAGGATCTTGGAAACCTTCCCCTACTATGCGCACAAAAAGAGGTCTATTAAAAAAAAGTAATGAAGAAAAATGCTTGCTTTCTTGAATAGTTTGGATAGCTTGTCTATAATATTTATCTTTATATATATATTAAATTTGGGAAATGTTGAACCATGTGTTCGGTGTGAAAGATTGTCAGCACTAGCTTTGAAGAATTTGTGGCATGAAAGCGAGTCAGTGACTAACGTTATGGTTGAACAGACCTCCATGGTGAAACTGGACTTCATTTGACCGGCTATCTGGTTCCCTTGCGGACCTTAGAGTGCCAATTTTGATCATGGAAAGTTACTTGCAGGAGAAATGGCATAGCCTTGATTAGTCACAAGAGTGGTTGGGCAGTTACGACATAAAATGCAGCCTTCAGGGACCTTCTTTAGCTCTGCTAGTGAGACAAGGGAGGCTCATCTTGACAAGGCTCATCTTATGTTAAGTTTGTACCTATCCAATGGCAGCACCTTTGATAGCCCTAAAGTCTGAAGATAGGGGCATGTTTATATGTTTCAGAAACTGAAAAAAAAAGTGTTAGGAGTATAAACAGAAATTCAGAATTGCTCCATATTAAAAAGTAAAACTAAAACCCAGCACTGACAGTGCTGCAGCTTTTGTAAGAAAAGCAGCGCTGCACGTTGAGTAGGAGAGGAGAAGACCTACCGAATGAAAGGCGAGATGTACGTTGCTGGCAGCTCTCTAACCCGGGAGTTTTTGCAGTGGTTGGTGACACCAGCAGCTTTCCTCCTACGTCGTTCCTCCCGCTTTATGAATTGATGTTGTGCTCCTGCTTTTCTTCGTGGTTTGTTTTCGTGTACTCTGCTCTCCGTTGTGGAGAGCGATGAGTGTGGCTTCTAACAAAGCTGGTCTGTGCATAGCCCCCTTCTCACACCTGTTTGTAGTTGCCTTGTGAGCTTTCACGTTCTGCACTGCTGACTAGTGTCCGTTTCCCTCGTCAAGGAAAAAGTGTTGACAGTGTGGATGGTGCTTTGATGACCCAAGCCACTATGTTTTGCGTTGCTCAACCAACAACTCCTTGTAACTGGTGGAAGTGGGAAGAAATACAACAGTAATTGGTTGACTTCACAGCTGAGCTTGTTTCCATCTCAGGCAGGGAGCTAGGTTGGATATTCTGAACGGAGGAGTTTGGGGTGGCACCAGTGTGTTTCAGGCTCTTGGCATGTGTCTCCAGGGTCCTCCCCAGGTCCACAGCAGCTCATTTTTTCCAGTGTGGGGAGTAAGAACATGTAGGATTTTTAGCTATTAGTGCTTGCGTCGCTCCTTTGACACCCACCCTGCTCCCCCCGTGGCAGGTAGATTGTGGCCGATAGCTGCAGGCAGTTAGGAGGTCCCTTGCTGGCATGAGTACTTGCAGCCATTAATTATGGCCTAGATTCCCCGCCCCCAGTCCTCACTGATGCTATCTGATACCCCCCTTCCATGGTCCTGTGGGGTTCACAACCCACTGTTTGAGACACACTGACTTAGATTATTGCTAATTAACCAAGAGGGGAACAGTGTCCAAGAGTGCTTGTTAAGGCTGGGACAAGAATGCTTTGGACACAAAAGCGTGTTGTGAGGGAAGACTTGCAGTATTCTGCCTTCTGGGAGGTACCTGCTGGGGAGTGTTATGGTAAGCTGTTGAAATAATTTTTTTTTTTTTTTTCTGAGTTACTCTAATTTTGAAGGATGTTTTACTACTAAATTTTCAAGGCTTGTTGAATGGAATTGCTGTTTTAATGCTTCCAAAATGCATTTTCTCCATTGGTTTATTATAATCAGTTAATAGGATCTTTAGCATTTGCAGAGTTTATCTTGGCATATTATGAGTGATTCTGCAGTTTAGCTGTAAGTGATGTTTCTCCAACTCACTTTGAGACATGGCTCTATCTCTTTTGGTCTTAATGACCTCATTTCTTCACATAAAACACGCTAATATAGCTTGCTAGAAATCTGATCAGTGGCTGTGCAACTGTGAGGCCGGTTCTTAAGAAAATGCATAAAATGCTGTGTATTTGCTCGCAGTGGCATGTAGGTAATCGTCTTTTCTATCAAAACAGATATGATCACATTCTGAAGTGGGAGCTCTTCCAGCTGGCAGACCTGGACACGTACCAGGGGATGCTGAAGCTGCTCTTCATGAAAGAACTGGAACGGATCGTTAAGCTGTACGAAGCGTACAGGCAGGCCCTCCTCACCGAGCTGGAGCATCGCAAGCAGAGGCAGCAGTGGTATGCCCAGCAGCACGGCAAGAATTTTTAAGCTAACAACTCTTTAATAGACTTTTCTGAGGACACCTAAGAGCTTTAAAAGGTTTTCACACTTAAAACTATGAAAAAGTGCTTTTGTTGAAAAGGCAGCTTATTTTTGTTGATGTTGCACCTTTGTTATTATCCTCTTGAATATTTTTCTACATGTATTATGTATTGTTTATAAAAATGAAAAATGTTTGTTAATCTTTTTTCTATACAAGAACTAGTTTATTATTCTGAAAACCAGCGCGGAGTTTAATCAGACACTTGATTCTGGTATCTTTTTTTCTAGCAGTTGGCTGTATTATTAAGAAGCTGACTATGTATTTTTAAAGGGCAATAGTTGCAACTGTATGAAATGTCCTGGATTCAAAACCTTGTTAAAATCCAAATGAATATTTCCATGTATTTCCCTCGGGACTTCGTGTCCCTCTCTCTCTCTTGAGGTCTGCTCTTTGTTTACAGCTTTAACGTAGGGAACACCGATACTGTTCCGTTTCAGTAACAACCCAGGGCTACAACCAGACAGAAGCGGATTTCATCAGTCTCAACCCAGTGCTTCATGAAAGTGAAGTCTGATTTGCCTTATTTTTTAACTTTAATGCATTGCTACTTTAGCTTTACTACTAGTTTTCACAGAAATTAGCCAGAGAGGAAATATTTGTACCTTCTTAAAGACCAAGAGCTCTAAGCAAACTTTTCACAGGTTTTTAAATCCTAGGTAAACTGCATTTCATAAAATGTGACCCAGTCATGTGGGAAGGTAATAGCATTGTCCAACCAGCTGTACCATGCCATGGAAAAAATCAGGGATGTAACAACAATTTTTTTTTTTTCTTTTAATGAGCTTTTCTCTTGTATTAAGGCTTTCTTACTGAGGGGAAACTTTTAATTGTACAGTTACCCTCCAGTAGTTTCATTTGGTTCACTGATTGTCCTGAAATGTTATTTATGGATTCTTTTTAGTGCAATAAACATTGTTGCAGACAAAAAAATACATTTCTTGTAAATCCTATTAATTCAATAAAAATAATTTTGTTCAATGAATGAAGCGTTGTCCAACTAATTCTTTGCCTTTTAGAAGGTCAAATAAAATGTTCTTATAACCAATAAAAAGATCTGACTGGGGGTGGCGAAAACCAGTAGCTCGGGTTCTCTGAAGCCAACTGCGGTTCCGACGCTCTGAGCTCCTCAGCGGTGCCCGTTTAGCGACCGAGTGAGCGCACGCAGAGCTTATCTGCGTACTGGTTCTGCAGACAGGGCCCGCAGCGAGGAGGGAGCGTTCCTGCTGCCCCGGCCTGCGCCAGGCCCAGGTGCAGTAAAGCTGCTGTTGGGGTTGGGACCGTTCTCTGTAAAAGCCAGCGAGCGCGCTGCGCCGACTCCCCGTGACTGCCAGAAGCGGTTACAGCTTAGCCCCAGGCGTCAGCTGCTGTACCGTAAAACGTGTCTGTTCTGCAAACCAGGACAGCAAGATGAGTGGGGTGGTCGTACCCGGTGCTGTCCCTCGAGAGGGCTGTGGACCTCAGCGAAGAGCCTTCCTTCGCTTAACAAGCTTCTCCTCTGCTGTTAAAAGCTGGAGATTTTATTTTGCCTAAGGCTTGTAAAACCTGGCTTTACCTTATTAGTGACAGAAGCACCTCCCAGGGCACACGGGGGCAGAGGAGGGGTCTGAGTTATTTTCAAAATAGCAACTTACCATTAAAACACCAATTCTGAAGGCCCAAAGGAAACCAAGAATGTAAAAAAACCCAAGAGGAGAAGCTCTCACCCCATGAGTCAATAACTGCTTCCTGGATAACCAGCCTCTTAGGAACCGAAAGCAAACTTTAATAGTTCTGACGATAAAAGAATAGAACTGTTGAACACACTTTCTATGCACTATAATGAATATATATACAGAAATACAGTGAAACTTTCTCCAATACATATACAAAGTGATACTTTGTGCATCGGTTACGAACAGAAAAGTACACTTTCCGTACAAGGTCGTTAACATACCATAGCAGAAGTGCCCTTACAGTTTCTGATAAAGCAAGTTAATACATTTTTAATTGTGTTTATGTAATTAAATAGTTAATTGAAGAAAAAACTTGGTTACATGTTATAACTTGTTCAAGTATCTGAAAATAAGTTGGCTTTTGAATAATGCTAAAGTCTGGAAGATTTTTAGTTGCAGTATTGTGTAAATTATGATTCCTTCAGTGACTTCATAACTAATTAAGAAGGGGAAAATAAGGCTTCATAAATTAGCTGGGAAGTATGCTGGCTATTACAAATTAAAAGCACTTTGTAGTTGCGGCAGTACCAATATGTACATATTAACAAAACGAAAAACATGCTGACATCTTCCCGTCAAACACCGTGTTGTCGAACGAACACACCGAACCACCTTACACGCGACTTGTTCTCCGCTCTCCCTGTTTCATGGCAGGAGCTTGTGATGGGTACGAGGACGAGACGTTCATGCATCGACGGCAACGCGCCTGGCTTACACCTTCTTCCTCTCCGAGCCCTCGGCGGGTTCTGCTTTCTGTGCAGGGAAGGCATGGTGGTACAAATGTCTGTGAGTCGCTGCTGCGCTGTACAGTTTGTACAAAGCCTGGAAAAAGAGAAGATGGTTACATCCTCAGCCCCGCTGCATGCGAGACGCGTACGGTCTGCGCTTTTGCGTTCATGCTGCAGTGGCAGGTTCAAACCAGTCGCGGCGTGCGGTTTGTTTTGTGCACCAACTCTTGATTGTGTCAAGCGTCCAACAGGGAGAAGAATAAAGATCACTAGTTCGCTAATTTTTCAAATGTCTCAGCTATGGGAGGAGCCTCCTTGAGTTGTATTAAATCAAGGACTACCTGGAGTATGAGTAAGGGACTTTTATTTTTCTATGAGTTTCACAGAATCATAGAATGGTTTGGGTTGGAAGGGACCTTAAAGATCATCTAGTTCCACTAGACCAGGTTGCTCAAAGTCCCATCCAACCTGGCCTTGAACACTCCCAGGGATGGGGCATCCACAGTTTCCCTGGGAAACCTGTTCCAGTGCCTCACCACCCTCACAGTGAAGAACTTCTTCCTTACATCTAATCTAAATCTACCCTCCTTCAGTTTAAAGCCATTAACCCATGTCCTATCCCTACATGCCCTTGTAAAAAGTCCCTCCCCAGCTTTCCTTTAGGTACTGGCAGGCTGCTATAAGGTCTCCCTGGAGCCTTCTCTTCTCCAGGCTGAACAACCCCAACTCTCTCAGCCTGTCTTCACAGGAGAGGTGCTCCAGCCCTCTGATCATCTTTGTGGCCCTCGTCTGGACTTGCTCCAACAGGTCCCTGTCCTTCTTACGTTGGGGACCCCAGAGCTGGACGCAGTACTGCAGGTGGGGTCTCACCAGAGCGGAGTAGAGGAGCAGAATCCCCTCCCTCAACCTGCTGGTGACGCTGCTTTGGATGCAGCCCAGGATACAGTTGGCTTTCTGGGCTGCAAACACACATTGCTGGGTCATGTTGAGCTTCTCGTCAACTGACACCCCCCCAAGTCCTTCTCTGCAGGGCTGCTTTTTCATGCATGGAGGTTGAATTCCTGCATCCTCAGCATTTTGGTTTACCCCCACCAGGCAGATACATATTGCGTCATGCAGAGGGCTTTGCTATGTAATGGGTTCTTGGTTTGTCTAGATCATTTTTCTGCAGATGAATGCAGATTTTTTATTTTTTTTTTTCCTTCTAATTTTACCATTTTCTGTTTATATCCAAGTGTATTTTCCTGGCTGACAGAAAAGCCGGTCCTTCGCTAACAGCAGCACCACAGTTTAATAAATGTGTGTACCCCCTCTTTCAGCAGAGCATCAGCGTGAGCAGGCTGCTGGCTGCAGAATTGTCTTCACGGAGGTTCCGAGGGTGACAGCTAAACACTGGGGTCAGCCCAGGCAGGAGTGGCTGCTGTACCCATACTGGTGCACGGTCAAAGTCAGTGTGGATGTGGGCTGCGTTTCCCGTACAGAACTAAAGTCAGAGCAGTCACCGGGCTGAGACAAGGCGCTGATCCCGAGGGTTGGTGACAGACAAGTACCACCACCCTGTCCCCCATCCCGCGATGGGCTCTATACCGCGTGCAAATGGCACAGGAGATGCCAAGATACGGGACTGGCTGCAGAGGACTCGGCGTGACCAGCTGTCATGGCTCTGACAGTTCCATTCAAATGAACTTGTCATTGGGGGAAAAAAAAAAACAAACCAAAACCAACACAACCAAAAACCCACCAGCTCCTGCTGGGGCCCTGAAGACTGTCGGTGAGCCAGGATTAATTTAGGATGGGGTGGGAAGAGGCAGACAACCAGCAGGAACCCGCACGCTCACAGGGTGATGTGTTCCTCGTGTGCGCAGGGGTGTTGAATGAAGCAAGCGAGGCTGAAGCCGCAGCAAGGATGAGGGTGAAGGTGAGAATGTGTTTAAGGCGATGCTGACCACATCCCAAACAGGCCATAGGAAACAAGAGGTGGGCTTTGCGTGCAAGTGGTTTGGGAATGTAGTGGACTGGTGGAAGAGACTTCATGCAGCTTCTCTGGGTTTCTTTCTTGAAAATACACCTTCAAATCCTACAAAAGCGACCTTGCAGCATTTTGTGCTATTTTAGGCTTTTTTTCCATACCAAACCAGTCTCACAGAGCTAATTTTTACTTGACAGGATGTGTCCAAGAGCTCATCAATAGCAAAGACCGTGGTCTTCCTCTTGCTGTTGCACAAGCCAGAGCAAAGCCCACGGACGCAGAGGTCAGAAAGCTTTTAGCTGCTCAGCATTTGTGGCACAGGGAGGTACCAAAACAGCCAGCATGGGCTGGCTGCTGGGGGAAAGAACAGGTTGATTTTTAACTTTTTTTTTTTTTTAAATGGCCTTTTGGATCTGTGAGAGCTGCTCTACCTTTCTTTTAAGAGGAACTCCCCAAATAACTCAGTGGCTGAAAAGTGTGTTGACACTGACAGACGGAGCTGTCAGGCTTTGGTGACACGATAATAGAGATGTCTTCTGTCACACACCTCGGCCAGACCGGGGTGGCACCTGGCTGCAACACTGGATTAACATACCTGCGCATTAATACAAACTAGTAAGGATGCCTTTTTTTGTTTTAATTAGATGCTGACGAGGTTTTGCCTAAACAAGGTTCCAATCGCCCTCGGCGCACGCCTGGCAAGCAGCTCAGCGTTGTGCCGCTGTGGTACCAGGCAAGCGGAGCAAGAAGGAGCCCGGCATACGAGGACTGCTGATGGTTGTCGACCCAGGTTTCCCTGCGGGGCTGCACCCCGAGTGCTGGGCAGGGACCGGCTCCCCTTGGAGCAGTTCCCCTGCCAAGCAGGGTGAGAGGGGCTGTACTGGGTGTGCTGCCCCAGGAAGAGGCTGGGGAGATAAACGACGCCTCCCAGGCTCTGCATTTGGCTTACTCGATCCGGTATGGGGGGGGGTTTTGGCCCAAAACACAATATGCGGCACTTCCAGCAGCACAGAGGGGCCTCGCCAAGTATGGGGGCTCCTCAGCTGCTGGGGCAGGAGCCCTGCCTGCACGACGACTGCACGGTTTGTGCTACAAAACAAACTGGTGTTTTGGTTTGACCTCTCGGCACAACAGGAAAATCCCCAAACAGAACTGATGGGAGAAAGATGAAAAGTCCCCATCATAACAAACGCACTCCCCACCCAAATCTCTCCCCCACTTGGCTTCCAGCACCGCCTGGAGCACAGCACCCATGTTTAACCCCCTTCCCCAGGCATCTGGATCACAGGGAACAACCAGAGCCCAGCCGCCAGCGAGTGCCCCGGTGCAAGGCCAGGATGCCACCGCTGCCCAGAGCCCTCGCAGCCCCCCCCGTCCCCCACAAGCCCAAAGGCAGTGACGTGGCTTGGAACGGCCATCTGGGTCTGACGCTTTTCCCCGCGAGCCCACAGCCCGTGGGAGCCGAGCGGTGTCGCATGCGGAGAACAAGAGCCACTTACCTCGTTTGTGCTTCCCTGGGGAGAGGCATTGGGAAGAAAAAGGGGGGGAGAAAGAAAAAAAAAAAAAAGGCATCTCTGTGTATCATGCACATCCATGGGAGCACACGGTGCTCACGCTCCTGGCCACAGCCACTTGCTGGTGCCACTGTGGCCGTGTATTCCCAGGGGGGCTCACCGTGCACGGGCTGCCCTTCTTGCAGGACCCCTCACAGCTCTTGGCCACCCCTCCTGCAGCTGGTCCCGCTGCCACGGGACACCGAGGGCTTGCGTGGGACAGAGCCACGAAGGCTTTGAACCCACCTGGGGCACTCGGGCACCAGCCTGGCGTATCGTGGCGGGCAGAGTCATGCTGCCCAAGCCCCGGTGCCTGCAGCAGAGCTGCTGAGACACTGCCAGCCACGCTGGGCCAGCACCACCCTTCTGCACAACTCTTTTTCGGGAGAACTTTCCCTCCAGTTGGAAAGCCATGCCGCACAGCCCGCGGAGGCCAGCCAGGCACCAGGGAGCAGCTGCAGGCACTTTAACCTCTTTATTTTTCCCCAGCTGGGCAAGTTGCAAATGGGCAGCGTTTCTGGCTTCCTGCTGGCTGTGTCCTGTTCTTGCTTAAAAACCCCACTGACTCCTGCACAGGGATGGGCAAATGTTGGGCTTAAACACACCAGCATATCCCAAAGGCACCCGTGAAATGTCCCCAAGCAAAGAGCCATTGCACAGGCACTGACCGCACCGCAGGGGGGTTTACTGTGGATGCTCAGGCTGCTGAGGACAGGACAGCCAGGATGAACCCACCTGGGACACAGGCGATGCCCTGCCTCTCCAATTCGCCTTATTTTAAAGGCAGCTCAGCTAAGCAACACTACTACCCACCTCTGCAGTGAAGGAACTGAATAATAAATGCTTCAATTTTTTTCTCCCAAAGCTGCATGTTTAGCTCCAGCTCTGCACAGCAACGGGAAGCAGGCAAACGTGCTCACTCTCAATCAAAACCTCACTGATGGATAAAAAGCAGGGAAGGAGCAGGTAAAGTTGTTGAGCCTTGGAGCGCTACAGAAATAAAACCCACGACTGCAGCTGGTGGCTTCTGGGGGCCGAGCAAACAATGACCTCACCATGGCTCTGCCACGGGAAGAGCAGGAGGCCACTGCAGCCCTTTAAATGTTATTTCGGCACATGGGCCCGCAGCCACAGCTGCGTTCCGGTGGGCTGCTCCCCTGGCTGGGGCGAAGGGGGTCAGCAGGAGCCTGCAGGGTCCGGGCTTTCCCTGGCAGCTCTGCAATGGGGAGAGGAAAGGGCTGCTGCAGAAGGGGAAACAGGAAAGAGCGAGTATTAAAAATACTGTGGCCGTGGGCTGTGAGATAACTCTGTCGGGGCTGGGCGCTGAAACGGCACCGCTTGGAAAGCGGGCAGAGCAACGCAGGAGGGCACAGGGGAGTGATTTCTCACTATGACCATTTTTAAGGTTTTAGAGGTGTTCTCTTTGACATCGGGGCCCAACCAAGACTTTCCCATGTTGTTTGGAAAAAAGAAGAAATCGAAAAAGAGCGGGTGAGACCAACTGACCCAGCACAGCTGCGGCTGTAACGGGAAAGCGGGGCCCAGTGCCAAAACAGGCAGAGCCGAGACCTGGCCTCAGTCTCCGGCAGACCTGGGGAGAGCCAAAATCCCTGCTCTGAACCAGGGGAGAGATATGGGTCTTTCTTTTTGACATACACAGACATGCACGCAAAAAGCACACACCCCAGCTCTGAGAACACCTCCCCAGTGGGACTGTAGGCAAAGCTGCTCCATTCCCACAAGGTCTGAGGCTCCACAAACTAGCATTTGATGATGGGTAAGACAAGAAGGGAAAAAAAAGGCAGAACAAAATAGCTCGCTGTGAGTTTTCTCATCCCCAGCCTGGATCTACATGGCTTGTCTTTCACACTGGGCAGGATTCAAAGGCTCAGGCTCGAGCAGGGGAAGGGGTGGGTTGGTATGCAGCTCCAGCCTTGCTGTTCGCTCCTGCTCTCTGACCCATCTTGTACCGTCTACCTGGGCTACAACCACAGGGCAGTGCTACCCAGGCCCATCTCCAGCCCCTAAGATGTCTCCCCCTTACAATCAACTCCACAAACTGATCTGAAACTATTTCCTCTGTCCCTGCTTTCCCCATCTAGGTCTAAGCCATGGATTAAAACTCATTGTCCTGCTGTCTGAAGAAGACAGGGCACAGGTCTTCCCCCACTGATCATAGCACAACCAGCTCAAGCAGCTGGATCTGTCCAGGCAGGCCCAGCCAGAGCATCTAACAACCCTAAACGCAAAAGCCATTTCAAAGGGAAAGAAAAGCCTCAGGAAACTCAACACTTAAGAACTCAGTGGGGTTTTTTTGTTTGTTTGTTTGTTTTAAATCAAAAGCTCTTTATCCTACCTGGTCCCATAACGCTGCGGCCACTTGGTCTATTACTGCGCCCAGTTCTCTGTACTCCCCAGAGTATCTGATATATGCCCAGGTACACAGTGTGATAAGTGTCAAGCCCATGATCATGTTGCACAGACTGGCTATGATGTCCAAGCCAATGAAGCCGGTCACTCCAGCTATCACATAAGTGATGAAGATGACCACAAAGAGCGTGGCAGGGGTGCGGGCGGCGTGGAAGATATTCTTGCTGTCATTGTGCTTGATGTACTGGATGTAGAGCTCATCTATCTCGTTCTCCAGCTGCTGGAGGTAGCGACGGCTGAACTCCTCCCCACCCATCTTCTTCACCCCACGAAACAGCTTCACAGCCTCCTCCTTCAGCTCCATGTGCTTGGTCTGGAGGTCACTAGGTGCAAGGAAGGGCTTGTCCCCACCACAGACCTGCGTGGAAAACACAGTCCAATCACTCCACAAACCTCAGCACCCACAGCTCCTGTGCTCTGGCATGCAAACCACTGGAATGAGGGCTCTACAGGCTCCTGTTTGGCACAGACCACTAGATCCTGCAGGAAGACCTCCATGACTTTAACTCTGCAAGGTGCAGGTTAAAACGGAGCAGCGGGTGTCTGCACTGGGAAGCTGCATCCCACAGCTCCCCTACTTGATTGCCTCACAGCCCAAGCCAGGATCTCAGCCAACACTGACAGCTGAGCTACACTGACCAGCAGGACCCTGAACCCCAGCGTTTTTTAGTGCTGGAAACTCCATGGCATTTTCCTTCTGCTTCTGAGTATGGACATGTGAGTTTTAAGGCTCAGGGCAGTCCACAGATGATTTGGCCACACAGCTCCGCCCCCCTTTCCTGCCAATCGGCAGCGATCTCCAATATTGATGAACAGAGTGGGGGCCTGGAAGTGGCTGCAGACAGTCTGGGGTCTGAGCTTCACCTTCAAACATCACAACCATCCCCTCACCAGAGCTGAGAGATGGGCTGACAGGGCAGGGCATAGGTGAAAAGCCAGTTATAATGACTTTATCCCCTAATTAGCACCAGCCACAGAACAGGTTGCATGGTCACGGAGCACTGCCACTCCTCTAGATCACATTTTGGGTTGCATCTACCCACGCTAGGGAATGCTGGGAAGAGGATGCAAATTCAGCAGAGGCCACATGGTCTGCAAAAAGCTGCCATCGGATGAAACAGTGACCATTTGTCAATCACCCTGCCCTGTCCTGTCATGATACCCTGACCGGACATTGCTCTCCTCCAGCCTCTGAGAAAGCCCCTTTTCCACCGTGAACATAGGAGAGACCCTCTTCGGGACCCTGAACATGCAGCACTGTAACCAGTCCTGATCAAGTCCATGCAGGACGTTTTCTACCAGGAACCCAGGCAGGGAGGTTCCCCCAGAAGGACAGGAGAGCCAGGAGACATAAGCGCTGTGAAACAACACGCTCAGCACGACCTACCTCTTCCATTCTCCTGCTGTAAGTGTCTTTGGCAGTGGCAACTGCTGCTAAATTGTTGGCTTCTGCTGTGGCCTGCAGGAAGGGCAAAAGGGGTACAAAGCTTAGCTGCAGAAAGACAGGGTTAAAAAGCGTTATTGCAGAGATTAGCAGCCACTGGCTGCCTGGCTACCCAAGGTCCACACATGTACACGGCCAGGACATGTGCACAGTACCCTGGTGCACACGTACAGAATTAAACAGCTCCCTTGTCTTAGCCAAGTGTACTTTCCCCAGGCTCTGACCAACGCCAAATAAGATTGTCCCATATTTACACATCCAGTCTCCTCAGTCCCCCAGGCAAAAGCCTGCATGAAGAAAGGACTCCTACCCTCCGAGCCAGACCAATGAAAACTTTGGCTTTGGCTGCGGGAAACAGCAAGAAAACAGATAAAAGGCTCAGTCATATGTAAACATCTAGAGCTCCAACCTCCCGCAAAGCCGTCTGGCTCAGAGAGCAGAGCTGCAGCCCAGCAGCCGCTGCCCGTGTGCGGGGGCCACGTCACCTCCGTGTGTGGCCCCACCGCAGCCAAAGACGATGCCATTTACCTGCGGGGGAACAATTTCAGCTAAGCTGGCTGACGCCGTCTGCACAGACAGCGAGTCACCACAGTTCGGCCAAGGTGCACGAGCCGTGCTACCGCAATTGCTAAGCCGTATCAGACTTGTGACTGCCAGATACTTCCAAAAGGGCTATTTCTTGGGTTGTTACACTAAGGCATTTGAAATAAAATCACAGAAGACCCAATGTGCTGCACTAGCTGGATGCCTCTGACAATTAACTGGAAATCAATGGCAATTACAGTGCATGAATGCTCACCGGCTCACAGCTCACACTCACGTACCTGCAGCATCGACTTTGGGTGTGGCAATTCTTCCCCTTGGTAGATCTTTATGTATGCCTGCAAAACAGTGCACAGAATATGAAATCACATTGAATACATCATACATGAGCAACACAAACACCCCCACCCAGTACCAGACGCAGCTTTAACAGGATGTTAAAAGCACAGAAGAGGAGGACGTTCCTGGCACAAGGTGGCTTCGGCAGGGGATGCTCTGTCAGAAAATGCTACATAACATGGCTCGAGATCGACTCCTTGGGTGGCCTGGGTCAGTGACTCAAGGGTCTCACTCCACCACTTACACTAAGTATCTATACTATCGGATTTGCACCTACCTCTACCCTTCACTGAAGGAGAAGGAGCCAGAGTCAGGTAGCCCTGGAGAGTAGGTGGTGAGAATTACTCACTGAAGTCTTGCATTAAAATGTCTCAGTAGTCATGACAACAAAAATCAGCTTTATCCAAAGGCAGTAGGAATATGGTCCTCAGTCTACCTCCCTCTGGACCTCAATCCTCCAGGAGAAGAAAACAGCCCTGCCCACTTCTTGGGCTTACTGCGTGGTCAAATTCAAATACACAACCATAAGGTGTTTGCTTTCTGCAGCAATGGGAGTCAGGACTGTTAGCTAGTCCAAGAACATTTCCTCCAGCCATCAAATGCTGGCCTGCCTGCTGCTGCTTTCCCCTTTAATTACAGCAAAAGTGCAAGTATGCCACAGATGAATAAGCCCACTTTCTCTTAAATAAGCCAATACCTTAAAATACTCCACAAGGCCTCGACAGGTGATATGGTTTCCATTGATCTCCTTAATATCCAGGCTCTCAGGACTAAGCAGCCAAGGAATCAAAATCTTCAAGTTCTTTATGAACTCATCATCTATTTCTGGAAACAAAACCCAATGTCGTCAGTACCAGCCCCACATCAGACTTGTGCTTCAGTGTGCGCCAACATGAAACAAAAGCAGGAGAGTCAAGCCAGAGACTCAGACACCCTATAATTTAGTAATGTGTGCGCTCAGAAATGATTGTGGCCCTAGTTAAGTTGTTACTTAACCCACGGACCGAATATACAGCTGCGCATATATCCACAAACCAGCTTCATGGTCTCAAAAATACTTGTGCAAACACAAATGTGACCGCATGGGAAAAAAAACTGCTTTTGCTGATGACATTGGTGATGTCCACGCAACGCTGATAGCCAGAGAGCAGCATCTTCTTGCCTAGACACATACACTCTTTGCAAATCATGGTATTTAGTGTATAGGGCACGGACACATGCTGTGCCTTCTTCCCTTTGCCCTGCTCCACGGCACCTGTAGTGGAAATCTTCTGCCAGGGCTTAGGCTCTCTGGCTCTCATCCCTGCCACCTCCTGTGCCAGCAGGTAAGATTTCCTGTGTTGAGTTCTTGGTCATCTATGAACCCATATGTGAAATTCTCATTGCAAAGCATTTTAAAGCTTTTGCACACAATTAGGTGCTTGGTACATATACACTAAGGACTCCTGCAAGTGACTATGCATTTACATTGCACCATCAGACACCCCTTGGTGTGGGTACCAGGAACGGGCACAATCTCTGCTCCTACCAGCCCATCCCCTTTGCCAAAGCACAGAGCTGGCACAGGGAGCTGTTTGAGGGGTCCATGGGCTGCTTGTGTCACTTCAACAGAGGCAGACTATCTCCTAACAGTCATTCTTATGGCTTCATAGTGTCTGACATCCATTTATTGCCATTTAAACTAAACCGTATGAGGCTGGAGACAGAAAAAACAATGCACTATCCAGGCATTTGGAACATAAGGAGAGAGGGGAAGTTTCTCCACATTTCTTCCATCAGAGCACAAAAAGCTGCATACAGCTCTGAGGGAACAACAAAAATGGTGTCAAGAAGCCACTGACAACCCCTGTGCGAGTTCTGCACACACCACTTGTTCAATACTACTCAGCAGCTGAAATTAAGGGGGGAACTAACAGAGATCAGCTCAGCTTCCACCAGTGCGCCTCCCCCCCCACTGCCTCACTGTCCTGCTTGCCGGTTAGCATGGAGTTTGCCAGAAGAACAAGTCTGATCACTAGCCAGACAAAACCAGAGAAAAAGTAAAATAAATTAGCAGACAGAAAGAAATTAAGTGACTAATGGGCCACTTTCTCTATTGCTAAGATTGCAAGCAGCCTGCAAACAGCAATGCTGGTAAGCGCTTGGTTCACAACAAACAACTAAAAAAATCCACAGCATGTGGCTCCTTTCAGGGTGGAGAATCTTACCACGGCTTTTGTTCCTTCCTCTTTTTTTTTTACCTGTTGAACTAAGTCTGCCCTGTAGGGAAACCACTGATCAGATAAGTCAGGAAGATTATATATTCCTTGGAAAGTTTTTCAAAGTGAAATAAAGTTCCCTTGAGAGCACATGCAACCCGCCTTCCACCCTCCACAAGCATCAGCCTGCCTCGCAGCAAGCAGTCTGCACCGCTCTGCATCTGTGCTGAATTGCAAGTGAGGCACAGGAGTTAATTGCAGGCTTAACACCGTGTCCATAAATTTCGTATCTCAGCCCTGCCCTTTCCTGGTTGCCTATCAGCCCTCTGTCCTGACAGTGCTTATTGCCAGCGGCTCTGAGACCTTTTCAGCCTCCCACACCTTTTTGGCCTCCACCTCTGTCCTAAGCTAACAGCATCTGGCAATGAACAGGCAGCTGCTGGACTCAAAAGAATGGGCCGAGCACATGTACATCGTTGGGAGGAGGATCCAACCTCTCTCCCAGTTTTGTCATGGAAAATACTTACAGAGGTTTCAGGAACCAGCGGGACAGTCTGCCAGGGCATCTAAGCTATCCACTTAAAAACCAGACCTTTGCCTTCATACCTTTCAGTTTTCCATCAAAATTAGGGTTGGTGGCAACTTTCAGGCCCGGGTGAGGTAAGAGGAAGCAGGAGATTTTGGTGAAGCAAGAATGGATGTGCTTTCTGACGTTCTGCAGCTCTTCATGCTGATTTCCCGAGACCTGCGAGAGACCAGTTTGGGGTCGGGGGGTTTCCTTCTGATGGGGACACCGGTAACGCTGGGCCAGTGGTACTGGCAGGAGCATGGGATACTCTGCACTGCGACTGCTTACAGCAGCAAAAAGCGACAAAGAAGGACATCCTGTAGGGGTATGCCACATGAGGAGAAAGACAAGGCTCTCCCAGCAACCAAGGAACTAGCGTATTTCTGACCACATACCCTGGGGCATGTTATTATCATTTGGAAAATGTGCATGTGTGTGTATGATTGGAATACAAAAACATTTGGGATTTCCCACTAGGGCCTTTTCTTGTCTTGCATTTAATTAGGTCTCTCCACTACCAAATCACCCATGCATTTCCTGATTAATCCCAGTGGAGCCCTCGCCCATCAGTTTTACTGTACAACTACCTATTACTAAAACATCGTTCCTAGTCTCTAGGGAATCTGCTGACTCCCATCGTTAACGTCTCTCCCAGCTGCTCCCAGCAAGAGAGCCCCAGTGAGCCTGGGCTTGGTCAGAAGCCTCAGCCCTCCACTGAACGTGGCAAGGAAATTCAGCCTCCTAAAATGCCTCTTCTGTGATTTTAAGCCACTGGGTAAGTGTGACCATAACCAGCATCTCTGTACACTGCAGCTCACACCTAACAGCCAGCGCTGTGGCCATGCAGCTGAACCCTCACTGGTGCTGGTGCTCTGCACCCCATTCCCTGCTCCCTGCCCAGGATTACACTCTCCAGAGCTGGTTGTCCCCCAGACCAAAGTCTCACCCTCCTGCTCTGTGTGCTCTCCATCCATGCAGGTGATGGCAGTGTATCATCCCTGGGTCACAAACCAGATTTGCCTCTTCACTCTCCATCACCCATGAGCATACCCCCAGGCTAGCACTGCTCATTAAATAAACCCAGATCAGAAAGAACACACCTTCAGCCGCTTCTCCAGAAATCTTGCACCACCATCAGATCCATAGGAAAATTCATACGGGAAGCTCCAGTCACGAACAAGGAATATAAGGGACTAGAAAACGGAGACAAACACAACAGGGTCAGTGCCATACAGTGCTACTGAGTCAAAGTTACCAGCTGCTCCTGCTTGGAAAAACTCATCTTTCAAGAGCATTGCTCTGTTGTTTGCTGCTAATCGCAGGACCAGGAGTGGCTACATGAGACGTGCAACTCTGCTGTACCTTATCAAAAAGGGGTTCACAAGGGAGTTCAGGGCCTCCTTCCCCACTGCCACCACTCGCAGCAGCTGATCATGCTCAGCCATCGGAGCCCAAAGCGGTGGCAGGACCCCCCCCAGCACCGTCACCCCCACCCTCGTGCCACAACAAGACCTGGCCCCAAGTCTCTGCCCAGCTCCAGTAGCATCTCATGCTTTTACTGGTGGAAACACCCCTCTGTGCAGGGCCACCCCAGCACGGTGCTGAGATCGTGCAGACTTGCTGCACGTGTGGCTGCATCCTACAAAGGGAAGGAGGGAGCAAACCCAGGACTGCTGTACGGGTTTTCTGGGTGGCAGTTTGATTCCCTAGCTTGAAGAATAGCGTCAATCATTTAAACTGCAAAACAAGAAAGAGATTTTTGCTAACGAGGACAAAAGGCAATGAGATCCTTAATTCCAGCCACATTTAGTTCCATCCTATGGGAATTTTACAGGCTCATTTTTTCAGCATTTTTCACCAGGCAGCCTTCCAGACAGACTTTTAATGAGAAGCAGATGCAGGATAACGAGGGTGAATAAGAAATCACTGGCTTTTGTAATCTTTACTGAGGCATTCAAAGCTCCTATGCAATAAATAAATAAATACCAGTACGGTCAACCTTTAATCTTAAAAAAAAAAAAAAAAGTTTTCAGAAGAAAATCCTGTCTCCAGTGTCTCATCTGTGCAAGGGACCTACATCCCATGTACAAATACATGGTTTGGAGGGGGAAGCCCTGAATGCTAAAGCCCAGGAGGGCCTGGCAAGGATGCCAGGGTTCCTCTCATGCACATGAATAAGCAGGTCAGCAAGTGGAATCCATTTAATTGGAATTTCCCTAAAAATTGTCTATGTTTAGAACAAAGATTTAGTGGAGGGAGGGAAAAATATTTCCCCTTCTTATTTCTCTCCCATAAAACATCAGGAAAGGTTAAAAAAAGAAAGAGAAGAGTAAGTTGTCCATTCCTAACTGCATGACAAGCCACACCAACTGCACCCAGTTAGCTGTTTCAGGACACACTGTTCTAAGACCATGAGATGCTTAGGAGACGTGTCCATGTTTAGGACTTTCCCACAAACACATTATGCATGCTTTGCACTGTTTGACTCTGGCATTATCTTCTTTTTTCTTAAGCAAAACTGTTTCAGACATGCTGTCTTTACCATGCCTCATAGCCACCCTCAGCCCCTCCAGCCCAGCAAACTGCCAGGCACCACGGACAACCTTTGCTAAGGCATCACGGCCAGGACCAGTGTCACAGCCAGGACTGAGGGCTCATCGGGCAGCGCAGGCGGTTACGCTTCAGTGCAAGTCTGAGGATACACTTTGGAGAGGAGGGAGCCGAAGGGAAATGATAATTTTCCACTGCCAAGTATTACTTCCCTTCCAGCAAGATCAACGCAACTGCCTCGCTATCGACACTTTCTCTGCACTCCCTGCTTGGCAGCATTTTCCTATAGGAGTCGTTTTCCAGAGCCTCCTTTACAGATTTGTGTATTTTAAGGACAAAAGAAGTTCAGCTTGTTTGACTTACAGGCCTGGAACCTCACCCAAGAAACTCAAGCTATAGACTCTCTTCTGCAAAGACAACTGTCTTGGTTTAAAGCCTGCAGCTACCAGAGAAGCCTTTCCATCTCTCGTTAAGCCACCCTAACCATTAAATTGCTCCTTCATTAACAGTGTGCTCCTCGTTCCTAGTCTGACTTTGTCCAGCCTCAGCTGCAGTCACTGAGCTACACACTGCTTCATCCTCCCCACTGGAAAAGCAGTTTATTTACCATTGCCCTTCTCCTGCTTCCTAATCAAAACGCTTGGTTGTCTTTAAAAATGTGCTTTGTAGGAACAAGCCCATTTTATGATGTGGAAAGGAGATCTCCATTGCTCACCTGGCCACATCGCCATCAATCCTTCCACCAAATTTTATCATCATTCGCAAGGGTGTCATTTGGTATTTTTCCCCAGATCATTAATGAAGATGACAGTGAATCAAGAGACATCCTGGGGGGAGCCCGGAGGAAACACTTCTGAAGGATGATGATTCCCTGTTAAAATTAGTTCAGCGTGCTCTGTCATCTATCAGTTAATGAGTTTTTAATCCATTTACAATGGATTAAAACAGACAATGCTGACTTGGTATGTTGTTAATTTGCTTTTAATCAGCATCATAGGGAGATAAGGCTTACAGAAGGCAATATATCATGGTGATAGTTACCTTTATCAACTGAACTCTTGGTGTTTTAAAAATTGATAATGGGATTGTTTGACAAGGCTTGCTATCCACAAAACTGTGCGTCTTGACAGCGATTACAGTCTTTGGTAAAATCAGAGCCTATTATCCAGTCCTAATGACTTAAGCATATTTAAAAGTTTCCCCTTACAGCCTCCTTTTTACTGATGGAGTAGGAAGTATTTCACTTTCACTGAAATATTTGGCTACATTATCCTGATAGTTTTTAAATAAGGAATAGAAATATTTATTTAACGTCTGGCTTTTTTCTGTACCATGTTACAATTTTCTCCTAGCGCTTGCTACTACAAGTAGTGTGTTTCTACTGGTAGCTTTCTAACATTGTTCATCAGTCATCTGCCCATGCCAGCATCCGATATATCCTCAAAGCTCCCCAAAATCTCAATTTGTCCATTTGTTGTATTTTTTAACCTTTTAATTTTATTTCCACTTCCTGACCACAGACACCCTATAAACCCCTTAGGCCTTCGAGGATGGTGGTGAGGACGGCAATTCGCTTTTTATGTTGGAAGGCAAAAGTAAAATAGCTGTAACCCATTCCCAATTGCTATTTGCATTTTTACAGCATGTTTTGCTCTCTGTTGTTTTCCACTTCGGGAAGCTCACAAACCCCCATCCAGCTACCACCTAACCTACTGTGGATGCCAGCTGGAAGTTGGACCAAGCCATTGGGACTGCCAAAGCGCATCTGATTAAAGGAACAACTTGTACAGGATAAGGCCAGAGCCCCACAGAAGGTGTTTTCCTTCTATTTACCAGCCTGATCACGCAATGAGCCCTGCAGCTCCACTGCAGCATGAGGATGTGTGGGGACCTCACAGCATCACTCCCTCCATCCCCTTAGGGCCCTCTCCCTGGCTCACACCTGGTCCCACAGACCCCTGAAAGCTTTGAAACCTGTTCAACCACCTTCCCAGCCTCCCAGGTGCACAGGATTCGGTGCAGCCATAATCAAAGCCATACAAAATCACAACTCAATCTGTTAAAGGACTGGAGCTTTAGTGAGCTGCCACAGCCATGTCATGGGTACCTTCTGCCCCCCTACCTTCTGCTTTGTCTCTTTTTGTTCATATTCACTTTCCTACTGGAAGGGGCTGTCATAGCCAACTATCCTGCCAGCCCTGGAGCTGCTCACAGATCTGGTGTCCGGAGCAAGCTGGCGTCAGCCCGACACTCTCCCTTTTTTGAATGCCAGTTTTTCACAAGTTGGGATGCAGCGGGGTGAACAGATGTCACTTATTTGAAGTTAAAACACCACTTAAACCGAGCCTTCCCACAGCCCTGCTGTCACTCACAAGAGCCCTGAGCTAATCCTCATCCTTTCATTTTGCCAGGAGCAGGGATTCCCGGGCAGGTGGGTTCAAATCTCTCAGAGCAAAGGCTGGGCAGAGTCCCCGGGTAGGCAGCGTGACAAACCTGCTGCAAAATCTGACTGCTTTCCAAGCCCAGCAGGATATCTGGCAGGACAGGGCAGAGCTCTCAGGATGGCAAGGGTTCAGAGAGGAAAGAAAGAGGGATGTTGGATGTATTTGGAAGCCTCTTTGGGGGTAAAAGAAGCACAAAGCCTCTCCTTCCGCAGCTGAGCCAGTCCCCAGGCATCTCCATCTCCTCCCGTCCTCCAAACTGCAGTGACACCTCGTGGTGAAGCCAACCGGCTCGGGGCCACACCACCTCCGGCGGAGGGGACGTGTGCTGGCCAGGACCCTCGGACTCACCTGGAAAGGTTTCAGGAATGTCTCCTCCATGGCCAGCCGGCCGTACTCAGTGAAAAGCTGGAAAGAGAAGCAGAGAACAACAGGACTGTTAGCTCGTCAGTCTGCACGGCCGGGCAGACGGCTGTAGGCCACACAGGCACAAGAGGCAAGGGACAATTGTTGACTCTGGGCTAACAGGACCATTTGCAGAGCTGGAACAGAATCTGGCTGGCTGTGTGCTTTTGGTTCACATCTGAGAGGCACACGGAGCTGTTACAGACAATCACTATGTGAGACCTCACATGAAAGATCTCAGTCTAGAATTTTTGGCTGCTAAATCTGTGAAAAACGGCTCAAATCAGCTGCTTACTGTTGCTTTCCTACCAACCAGAAACTTTACGTGCTACAGGGGACTGCCGGAGCCCTGCTCTCTTTAAACACTCTGGGAAGAAGCGGAAATGAATTCAGAAATAAGTACTTTCCCTGCAAACCCCCGCTGTGCAAAGACTGTAAGATCAGCCTACCAGCAAGATTTGAAGGCTCTCCAATCTCTCTGGACTGTAATTTCTAACTGAAGGCACAATAATGTATTTCACAGATGCCTAGAAATGGGTCAACATGTTAAACAATAATGGCTTACAATCCAAAGTGAAAGATCAGAGTTGCATTGGATAAGTTCAATGTTAAAAGGGCATTATTGTTAAAAATATTTACTGACTGAAATAGTACAGAAGTCTTCAAATGCTGACTTTTCCAGCTGGACTTTTGCTTTTCTTTCCTTTTTCTTAAGGTCCTGCAAAAACCTACCTAATGAATCAATCAATCACCTAAACAGAAGAGAAAGCTAGAGGTAATACCAGGAAATGGGCAGGACACCTGTGCCACAAAAATCCCATTAGCTGCTTGTCTTCAACAGTCATTATCCTTAGGGGTCATTTGTATTGAGCCAGCACCAGATGTCAATACCCAGGTTTATAAACCAGTTCCTAATTTCTTTGGGCTTCTTCTAACGATGCAAAGATCCTGCCCTACAGTGTGAACAGTGCAACCTCTGCCTTCAGCTTCCCCGTCACTTCAGTCAAATGAGCACTTTTACTGCCCCTACTCAGGCAGCAGCAGATGGATGCTCACAGCAGCAGGAGTACAGCCAATACATGGTTAACTACCCTGGATTCCTCCCTATTACCAGTCACTTTAGCCCCTTGCTACAAGTCATAGCATGTTTCCAGCCCCATGGGACAGTCCTGGCCTCTGATGGGTCTCTGCTCACTGAGGAATCCCAGTATAATCCCACGGAAGGACACAGAGGCCAGCGTGAACTGTATCCAAACTGTTCATGGCGGACCAGTGATGGGTGCACCACACCGAGATGGTCTGTGATGGGTACTCTACACCTGTACTATGCCGTCTGTTTGATGCTCCTCTAACCTCACCATTAGAAAGTCAACTTAATCCTCTCTGGCTGCAGCACCACCCATGACAACTGGTCCTGTGCACTGCGGACATAAGAAAAGATAATGCTCTCCACTCTGCAGCAACCTTGTACACAGCTGAAGACCGTTACCACCTCCCCTCTCAGTCACTTTTGTCTCCTGACTTAACAGCCTTGGTTTTTTTCAGCCTCTCTGTGCCCTCCAGCCACCCGCTGCAGCACGAAGCGCAGCCATGGACCCCTTCCAGCTCCACAGGTGATCAGCCTCAAGGAAGACATGGGCCCCAGAGACAGGAACAGTCCCTCCTGGCAAATGTCCCACTGACTGCACTGCCAAAGGACCCAGGCCCCCAGAAGCCACACTACAAGAGTGTAGGCAAGACAGGTTTCAAACCAAGTGACTGTTACTCCCTGCCCATGAACCAAAATGAGAACTGGGAAACTGAAAAATATTTTGTGGCTATGAATGCGAAAGTGCCTTTGCAGAGCAACGTAGCTTGCCAGTGTGGAGAGTAATACGGGCACCTCAGTGATACGGAGCAGCAGGGACAAGGGTCTCACCTGCAAGTGCTGCAGATCATCCTCCTGCACGTTCTGCGACAAGTTGTAAACCTGCATTTAAAAACAAAAACTTCAGAGCACTCAGAATGGCCTGTCCTTCGAGCCAATGTGTGGGTCGGTGTGGTTAAAGCCTATGACATTACCATAGGGACACAGCCTAAGTCCCAGCTGGCCCATGGTGCTAGTATAAGACAGGCCCCAAGCACAGCTGTACTGCTGGACAGACTCACACTGTCAGTCAGACAGGCACTGCTGCTCCCTGTGCAGCAAAACACTCCAGCATGGGAGCAGCAAGGGCTGTCATGCACCAGCCTGGAAGGCTATTAGGTCCAAATGATGTTCCTTCTTCCCCATTTTTGTGACGTGCTGAGCTCTGTACCAAGACACAGCTTCCATCCCATTCACACTGTCCTCCAAGAGCAAAGGCCAGACAGGCTATGCCGTAACCACCTGGTCTGTGAACAACTCCAGCCCAGAAGCTTCTCCAGCAGCACTGAGACAAATGCACACCCAGTTCCCCAGACCAAGGTCCTTTTCTCTTTGGTAGCTGGAAGCAAAAGGGTGCATCTGCTGCTGCCCCTGTTCTTGGGGTGAGATGAGGAGATGAGACTGTTCCCTGTGATGATGGAGTCATGCATGAATCCTGCACTCAGTGCAGCAAACATGCTGGCCTTTGTCCCTCCCATCAAAGGCCCTGGCTAGCTGCTGTGTTAGGCTGGTGCCAAGCCACTAGTTTTTTGCCACCACCTTTTAGGAAGTGATTCCTGGAGACATCCCCCTTCTTACCTGTATCGAGCTGATCATTGTGCTAAGGGCAAATACGGTGGCTGAATCCCGCAGGGTGGACTGGCTGTCAAAGGTCCCCTGAGTGTCCATCAGCAACACTGCAACCTGAGAGGCAGAAAGCTCTACGTCAGCTTGGATGCACCTGTTCAGCATCTGCATCCAAGCAAAGTCACTCCCAAATGCCAAAGGGGTGGTGGGGAGGTGAATGTCAGCTGCATTATTGCACTGGGAATCTCATTGCTCCTGCCTCAGATTTATAATTGGTGGAGGACAAAGGAAAAGAGCATCCCCAGTCGCTCTTGACAGCGTGATGACTCCAGCAGGCAGCAAAATGAATGCTATGCAACACAGAGGAGGAAACCACACTCGGTGTCAGTGCAGATGGGTCTTTTCCCAAGTTTGCATTAGCTTTATGTCACAGAAGCCAAACATGGCAGCATATCACCCCTCCTTAACCCAAACCACATTCAGACAGTATCAGAAATCACACCATGAATAATTCAGTGTCACTTTGGTGTTGGGTTCTTCATTAAAGAGTAGATGAATACAAATATTCCTGGCTACAAGCTGAATTTGCAGGATGCCCCAAAAGCCAATTTGCATTGTATTTGACCACCCTTAATGAAGACACTCGTTTTACAGCTACTGCTTTAGGAAAGGGGAGTAGTTTGCAAGGACCTCAGATTCAAGAACCCTGGGAACAGCAGAGAAATAAACTCTGGGATGCCCACGGTTAGAGGGACACCTAGGGAGCATATCAGAGACACCTAGACGTCATATCAACTCACTGCATTAAACACACTCATGCTAAATTAGGGATATGGTATTGAAGACCTTCTTTAAACTTGCACAGGCATTTGAGCCACCTATGACAAGGCAGGAGAGTCCTACAAAAGCTGGAAAAGAAACATGAGCTGACCAGCAACAGACAGCTATGCAACAAAGAAGCACACACCTTTTTACCATCGGGCTTGTCCACCAGGAAAACCTCGCTCCATATCTGAATGCCAGTTGTCTCCCGCTCAGACCCTCCCCTCCAGGAGAAACCAGTCAGAGGCTCGTTGTAATCTCCAACCCAGTCTACTGCTTCCTGCAGGTAGGAACAGAAGAAGTTGCTGGAGTTCTCATCTCACTTTGGTTTTACACTTTCCCTCTGTGCTGCCTCCGTCCCAGTGCTGGAGGAGGGCAGCCCCTATAAGACAGGTTTCCTACAGGGCAGCAAATGTGAACATGTCTGCTCCGAAGTCAAGAGTCCATCAGAGACCCACTGGTGCACAGGGCTGTGGAAGGATCTGCTCTATTTCATTTTGTGAAGCCCACGCTAATGAAAGGCTTGAGCATTCCTAGAGCACCACGCCAGCGTCTTGTCCAGCTCATCCCTGGGTGGTACATGGGAGCAATGAGCAGCAGCACCATACCCCTGGGAAGAGCCACCTGAGCTGGAGCCATACCTTATTGTACATGTACCGCAGCATGAAGTCCATCAGGAATGATTTTCCTTTTCTAAAAGCTCCAGCAACGGACACAGCCACGACCTCTTTATCTCTGACAGCCTCTGACAGGAGGATACGGTTCAGTGCAGCTTCATCCAGTTCAAAGGAATGGTCATCTTTAACAATGAGGACTTGCACTGGTCCTGCCTTTCTCACGGACTCCTCCTCCTCTGAGCTCCACTCGTAAGTCTTCTCTGCAAAACTACCTGTGTAAACAAGTTAAACAAGAGCTGTTAAGTTCCTTCTTCTGTAAAGTGCCGAATCAGAGACGGCAGGGCTGGACAGGGTGGTAACAAGCCAGCTAGCCCAAATATCCACCCCAAAACAGCATCGTTCAGAGCAGACATCTGTTGAACCTGTCCTCAGACACCTTGATGGAGACTCCATGCCACTTTGGAGCCACCCGTCCGTGTGCTCCCTGCAGGCAGACAGTTCCCTGCTGGAATCTCCCTTGACAAAACACACCCATTAGTTTTTGTCTTACAAGAGTTGACATGGAGAACAGATCACCCTCTTCTCGTCTGCAACAACTTCTTACATACACAAAGACTGCCATAACACCTCCCTTAGCTTTTTCTCTGCTAGAAAAGAGAAGTCCAAGCCCCTCGATCATCCCTTGCTACCGCATTGTCTAGGCAGCTAACTGCTCTCCTCTGGACTCTCCCCACCAAGCCTTTTCTGAAGGTGGTCTCAAAAATGGATGCAGAGTTCAAGCTGAGGTGTCTAAGTACCTCATGTCTCTATCAAAGGATGCTGCCTTTATGTATCCTGTGCGACTGCTGTTTCTGTAGCAACAGCAGAGTCCTGCTCTATCTGCAGTCTGCACTAATGCTCAAAGTGTAATCTGCTGCTTCTGCCATCGGCCCCATCAACAGCCTCCCCTGAGACAGCCCCAGCAGGAACCAGGCCACGAAGACACGTGCCCATCCTGATAAAAGCCACTTCTTCACTCCCAAGTGGGAAGAATATGCAAAGCACAGGCACTGCTCACTTTCCCACTTCAAAATGGCAAGGTTCCCTGCAGAGCTGCTCGCCGGCACAGAGGCAAGTGCTGCCCAGTCTGTGTATTGTTCATACGGCCTTACAAGAGGGTCTCATCTCCCCACCGGGACAGGGGAGAAGTGACAAGCACGATGCTGCAGCAGGAGCCTTTGGAGGGGACGGGCAGGGACCCAGCATTCCGTCACTGCATCCATGCTCGGTAATGGCAGCGTGCCAGACAGATACGTATCACCCGCACGATCCTCCAGGCCAACGCGGCTGAGACGATTACAGCTGTTAATGGCCTCATGGTCCGTTTGGGCTGCTTTGTGTACCTGCCGCAAAATATGGGAGACGGATGCGTTTTAAGACCCGCCATCTACAGACGCTGCAGCCTTGGGGTTTGCAAAGAGCAGGCCAGCTCCAGTAATTTTCCTTTTGCTGTGTCCAAACTTCCCAGCACAGGAAAGAGATGCCGAAGATGATTAATCATGCCAGTCAGCTCACCTAGAGCCATGTGAAATCTCGCCAGCAGGGAAGGGAGCTTGTGATGGAAAGTTCCCCCACATTTCTACAAAAGCTTCCTGGTTTGTTGGCTCAGACTGCAACTTTCCAAACACGGTAGCCTCAAGTTAAACCTCCTCGGTCTCTGTTTCAGACCCTGACCTTGGGGACCCAGTTTTCAGACAGTCCCAGCTGTTTCAAAGCACAAGGACTATGTGTGCACATGCTAAAAGGCAAGCTATAAATACCAAGAGGAATAGGGTTTGCCCATTCTGGGCCTCTTTATAAAGAAGCCTCTAGCAGCAACTTCATATTTTAAATAACAGCAGTGCTTTTGTATGAGTTTCTGATTTCCTACAATCCTGCAACGAAATATCGGTTGCTAGGGGATTTCTGGTGGCTCTCGGACATATACTACAAGCCTTCTTTGCTCACAGTTGAAAGACAAAGATCTTTTCTTCCCAATGCTTGGAGGTTTTTTAGCAAAACAAAAGTCCCAAACGCTCTGAAAAGCTAGATTCTCCACCAGACTGCAGCAGCCGGGGACCAGCAGCACCAAACTCCCTTCAAACACCAGCCCCTGCCCTGTGTCACTGCTTAGGGGCCTCCAGGAAAAAAAAAAAAACTTCCTGTTTCAAATACATGGACCTAGGATCCAGGCACACATCACCAAATGACTTGAAAAACGAAGGCCTCCAAGCAGTCAGTCCTCTTGCTGCACACACCAAACACCGTTTCCAGCATTAAGATCTTCCCAACACGTTAAGTATGGACAGGTGCCAAAGGGCCACAGGCTCACGTGCTCTTTTTAAGCGCTGCCATGCTGCAAGTGCCATATAAAGTCTACGATAGGAAATACCTCCTCTCCCGCGGTGTTTCCCAACGCCCTGCTCAGCTAACTGAGTCCAATTCTTTTTTCTTTTTACAGCTGCACAGAAAGGACAGCGGACAGATCCTTGTATAGGATGTGACTCATGGCACAGGCAGGAAAAAAATTGTAAATCAGATTAAATCTAAACATTTCTGAGTCTAGCCAAGCCATCAGGGGTGCAGGTGAAATAGCTGTGCCACCTCCCCAGACCAGACGAGTCCCACCTCCGGGCACGCAGACAGAGGGCAAGGGGGACCAGCATTTTACTCGTCCCACACTAGCAGTAATGGGAGCTGCAGCCAGAGCCCAAGATGGGCACAAACCCTGCTGTCTGCAGGCTTCAAGCACAGGCAAAGGCAGCACGGATGCCCCCAGCTCAGAGAGCTGAATGGACTGCCAGTCCTGGTCAAGGATCCAAGCACCATGACAGGGAACTGAGGACCTGAGTCCCTCCCATCCTGCTACCAGAGGGAGAGTTGGTGCCAGATTCCCCCTCCTCCTGCTGCCAGTGCCTGGATGGGATCTCCCAGGTTTTCTTCTCCCTCCAGTTCAGCTGCTGGAAAGAGCGACAACCAGTGCAGAGGACAGGTGACTGTGTTGTCCCTTCAAAACATCAGAATCTGTAAGGAGCATATTTTTTTTTAGCAGACATTGACAGGTTTTGGGAGGATGCCTCCGGACACAGGTAACAGTCCAAAGCGGCCGTGATCTCCTAGGGGATGTCCTTGCTTCCACCACCTGAACACTAGGAAAGCCAGGCTGTTTGCACCACACAGGGGCAAAATACAAAGTATTACGAGCAGGATATGTTAATTTCCCAGTTAATTGGAGATATCAGGAGAAAAGGCATTATATTAAGCAGGTCTCTGAACTAATTTCAGCCCTGTTATCTCTGCTTCTTTCTCGTACGCCATCTGCAGACCAAACTATCTTTCATATTTGTTTCCCTGTGATGAAACTTCCATGTTCTGTTTATTAGATTATCTGCTGCATTGGAGAGCCAGAGATTATTTTATAAGATGGCTGCGCATTACTGGAAATCGATTATTTTAATTGGTCTTTCCAGAATAAATTAGTTACCTGCTCTGAAGGAAGTTGTACCTGGCAATGGCAAAATATCATCTGGCCAAAAAGGAAAGGAAGGAGAGCTAAGCTTTCCTAAACACACTCTTGTTTTCACTTATTTTCTAACTTTTGACTCCTCCTTTCTGTCAGCTCTCTCCCGGCGCCTTGCAATTACGTCAATTCTCAAGCTGCTCATTCAGAAATTGCCAGGATACAGTTCCTTTTCCCCATTTCCTAACAGCTCATTTCCATGACTCTAAAGCGGCGTGGAATCCACGTCTCTTTTCCATATGGTGATTCAAAGTGGAAAGGTGAAGGAGATCAGAATTTGCATTCATACTTACTGGGCTGTCAGACAGCAGCAAGGAAATGGCCTAATTCATACAGACAGCCCCATAATACAGGACATACTGTACAGAGTCTAAGGAAAAAATAAAGCATTCTTCAACTGCTCTAGGACTTATTTTTCCTTAAGATTAAATAAATTAAAACAGCATATTTCACATTGTGCCTGTGTACAGACTGACAGCCGATGTCTAATGTATTTAAGCTCCTACAGAAGAATAAATGAGATAAATTACACGTCAGTAATTATGCAACGTACCTTTGGTGAGTGCTTGCTTAAGCCTGTTCTTCCTTAGCTATGGAAGAACAGGTCACAGAAATGCTGACTGCTTTCCAGAGACCAACTAATAAAGTCAGCTTTTTCCTTAAATGAGTTTGCACAATAAATACATTTCATTCCAGAGAATGAAACGCAGCCGTGACCCATCATCTATGCAAACACAGGCTGCCTAACCAGACCCTGAAAAAAGTCAATTTGCCAACCCTGCTCTTGTTCTCCCAGGTTGGACCCCAGGACCCTTACCTATCTAAGCACTGGCTATGAAAAGTAGAGGCTGCAGCCTGGGCCCCGATCACCCCGCTAAAATACACAGATGTCATGCAGCGCTGCTATTCTGAGGGTCTTGGAACCACATTACTTTACTGCATGGAAAAACAGAACCTACCAAAGAGAGAAAATAGAGGTTTGATGGGAAGCTTTAACTTGTTATTTCCCTGGAATTGAGCATCCATGTATCGATCAGGTTAGGTTGCTTATCAGCAGCCCTCTAGGGATTAATTCGATCAGCAGCAATAGCTGTGCGGATCCTTTCTGAAGCTGTGTTTACCCCAGCTGTCTACATTATAAACATATCACAGTGCCACCAACGATACCATGAGCCAAGCACTGAACAGACCTTACAGTCAGGCTTGATCCCTCTGCACATCCTCCAGAGAGCTTCAGCTTCCAGGAAGCTTATCTGCCCTCTGCAAATGGCACTGGCAAAGAAAGACATCTCTCTCCGAGCTGCAGTCTCCCTTGCACTTATCGCATTCAGCGCGGCTGCTGCTGTGACATGAGTTCTGCTCACTCTATTCATGCTGAACTACCCCCTCAGTACGACAACCAGCCAACGATCATCAGCAAGGCTCTGAGGAGGCTGGGAAAGGCAGCATCGCTTTGAGCATGCACCAGACATCCTCTCCTTCTCTCCGAGACAGGCTTGCGCAGAGCTCTGCATCTTATCCAGCTAATGAGGGAAAAACGAGAAGTAAAGCCTTGGAGCAAAGCATATATACCGGACAGCCAGGGCAGAGGGGATTTGTATAGCAATAACCTGTATCAATCCTGTACAAAGGATCAGACAGGATCCTGCAGAAAGGATGCATGGCAGGGCACAGCTGCATCCCGAAGCACTGAGACCGCCGTGGGAGCCTGGCCTGGACAGCTATGAGTTAGCAAATTCCCTCAGCCCAGGGCTGCCATAAGGTGTCTAGACTGAGGTGCTCCTGGGAGACACTGTCTTTGAGAGGACGAAGCAGGGAAGCCTGGCTGGGTAAAGCCCTCTCTTACACCCATCACTGATCTGCAAACCTCCCTGCACCGCACTCTCTGAGGGCTCCTAGCCCTCAGAAAGCCACCTGAGCTGGGTTTAACAACACACACACACGTTCATCACCCCCTTCTATATCCTACCTGCACCTCCTACACCCAGGGCACGGCTGACCACACAGCCACACAACCCTCCCTCCATCCTGCTCACACCTCTGCTGGGATTTGTGACACCCCCACGGAGTCAGAGGACCCCAGACCCAGGGAGGGGAAACACCAGGCGCTAGCACCCACTAACCAGAGCCACCGAGCCCCTCTGAAGTGGCACATGTACACATGTACCTCCCTCAGGCCCCAGCCTGTTTCCTTATGCCTGGAGCTGGTGGTCTGGGAAATGCAGCAGTGAATGGGAAGGCAGAGCCGGACCTTCCCGTGCCCAAGCAGGATATCACTTGCACCTCCCCAGACCGGAAGTACAGATGCAATCACAGCTCTGCCATGAACCAAGGTGCAACGCAGGTTCTTGATACCTGTGGAAATGATGGGTAAAGGACACAGCCCGCCATGTAGATCTCCACCCAGGGAGCTGCAGGGCATGGCTTAGAAAACAGGTGAAGAAAACTGTCATGTAAAAAATTAGCCCTGTCCTTCAACAATCAAGAATGTCAGGTAAAAGGCCACGCTCAATAGTCATTTGGGGTCTTGCTTTGAGATCCCAAGCTATCCCCTCCAAAGTCAGGGTCAACTCTTCTATCCCAGCTGCACAGCAGTGTTAACACCTCCGCCCAATGCAACCTGCACTCCCATGTGCTCCTGGCGAGCACCCCACTTCTCTGCACCCCAGCATGCTTGCAGCAGGGAGCTGAGTAGGGTGGCTAATGCTGCCAGGCTTGGTACTCATCCTTTGCTTTTTTTGGAGCCGTGGTAAGATGTAGAATGTACCTTCTTCCCGCCAGCCCTGAGTCATCCAGCTGGCAGCATAGCCGCTTCAGCTACAGCGTGGCCAACTCAGCCCCTTTTCCCTTTGGCAGACGAAACAAGGAGATGAATGATTATGCTGATAACACGAGTGGTTTGGGACCTTCCTGCATAAAAGACTGCTGACAGAAACAAGAGCTTGGATGATTAGCGGCCACCAAACCTGTCTGTTACAACAGACACATCTCAAATGCCAAAGTCCAATGTGCAACTTTTTAATGATGACACCTACTACCACTTACATGAAGCTACTGTGCCTTAGCTGGCTCTGAAACAGCAGCAATGCCTACTGCTGTGAAATTCCCAGGCTGAGTTCATTATTAGCATGCTTTAGAGACACAGGCACACAACTACCTTGGGAAGAAAGCAGATCAGACAGAGGTTTTTCTAGAAGTTTTTCAGGAAGTTTCAGGTCACGTTAGAGTTACATGGCTATGTCCACGCAAAGGCAAGGCAGGCGACTCTCAGAGGCAACCTTATTCTCACCTGTGTTCGTCAAGACTGTCGTAAGAGAGTGCTACCAAAAGGCCATTACCTATTTGTCAGGTACAAATCCTGGGCCTGCTCACTTACTCACATTCAAGCCTAGCCAGACTCGGGTGCAACACGATGACTGAAATGCATCTTGCAAGAATACGTCTCCAAAACTGCCACTTCACCCTCAGCATGCATTTTATGTATGGTCCTTCATCCGCTCTGTTTGTCAGCAACCAGCCTCCCTCCACCAACAGTATTTGATTTAGTAATTTCTGACGTGAAATTATTTTTACCCTTTTGCTGTTACAATTGCCTGAAAATAAAGTTTGGTCAACGTGCCACGAAATCCTAGGATATAGCATGAAAGGCAATTACACTCTGGAGAAAATGTTTCTGTATACAGAGCGCTTTAAATACATTGTACTGGCTTGGCAGCGTTCAGGGCCTTCTCTGGAGCCTCTATCCCATTTGGGAGATTTGTGTTCAGTTAGTTTATCGCCTTAACACTTAACCTTCCTTCAACTGATAGCAAATGAGAGCATTTCTGGCAGGAACAAAGGAGCTGGGGTCCCTCTAGACTGAAGTGACTTTTGGAGGTGATCCCTGGGACATCTTGTGCCTCCTGGAGCGCGGTGATACCTGCACCAGACCCACTCCCCGGCTGGAGAAGGTTGCGGTCAATGGTCCAGAGGAGTTAATATAAGGCCCGCTGCCTATGAACATCACCTAGGCCCTAAACAATATTTATGTGTGCTGTTTCTCACCCATGGGCTTAGGAGAGAAAATGCAGCAGGACACAACCAACTCCATACACCGCTTCCCCCTTCCGTTAATCAGGCAGGCAGCCAGCGCCGAAGCCTCTCGCTGCACGGACGCAACATGAAGCGTGACGAGGGCTCCATGTCACCACTGCGAGGAAGGCTCAGGGCATCTCGGTTCTTCCCCCAAAAGGGGAAAGGCAGGCTGATCTTGCCTCTGCTCATCTTGTAATGGATCAGACCGTGCTGTTCAAATTCTTTGTACAATGCCGCTGCCTCAAAACCGAAGGCACAAAGACCAAGCATCACGTTTAGCAATTTGGGCCTCTAGCTCGCAGCGTTGTCTTGTCTCTTCTTTCAAGTCCCAACACTTCATTTTCTTTTCTCATTTAGAAGCTAGTAATTTGGTCGTGAATCTTCTCGTATCTAGTGGCTTTTTGTGTAAAGGCCCGCCTGTCTGAAACATCTCAGCTTTCACTTTTCAGGAGGTTCCCAACATTCAGTCACAAAGAAATGGCAGTAAGTGGAATCTGAAAATCCACCATAAAAGGTCAGAAAACAAATGACAAACAGAAGGATGTTAGCACTATTAGTTAATAAAACCAAAGGACTACCAAAATCATCCTTTTCTTTCCGGCTTAACCCATTGCTGTGCAGTCAGAAAGTGTGGCATTGATGATCTCAGCCTGGCCTGTGCTGGAGAGGAGTCCCTTCTCAACAAAACAGTTGCTCGGCCCTTCCTGGCAATCAGGCCCCTTTAAGAGCTCTCATGGAATTTCATGTCCAGTTTGAAAATCCTGACCAAGAAGTATATATAACCTCTGTAATCGCTTTTGTGGTTTTGAAACTGAATTCTTGATGAGTGGGTCATTCCGATTACAACATGGGCCATGATGGGAAACATGAGAGATTTCACACAGTTTGTTTCAGTCTGTGCTGTTTAAATGAGTGACTGGGAGCAGAGGTCTCTAATGGCTTTACTATATCAGGGGGAGCAGGCTGCTGAGCATCTGCAACTGCCAAAGAATTTCAGGAAAATGTCGGTGTAACCTTCATCAAGCTGGCTGGACTTCACCACGGCAAGCACAGGATTTAGACTAACAATCCTTATTTTGGGAAAAGTGGGGTCCCTTACTCTTACCAAAAAATTATACAAAAAATTACACATCTGCAGCTCCCTCAACCATTCATCCAGCACCTAGCAGCAGTTGGGAGGTCTATGCACCACTTAGCACGTTCAGTAAGAGAGCCTTAAATGATGCATAGCCTTATGCTGACCTTGTGCCCAGGGCTAAATCCTACACTTGATGCATTACACACCCCTACACGAGCTCCCGGGGATGTACGTATGTGACAGTAACCCAGCTTTGATAGCTGACCGGAGGCAATTTCTTCTGGGTGCCATACACTCACTCACCCTAATTTGCTCTGTGATCTTTAAAAAAGCAAATTATTTTTATGAAACGAGGGAGAAGGGTTGCCTGTTTTCAGGCCTGACTAACCAGAGAGTAACTAGGGCAAAGTTTGATCTGTTTCAAAATAGCATAATATTTTTAATGACCCATAAGCCCATTTTTAGAACACAGTGAGGACTTTCTGACTTAGTTTGACTAAAAGCCTTGAGACTCTTCCTTCACCAGCTAGGCTGAAAAATGTAGCAGTGGAAGAGTCACCCCATGGACTGATGTCACCAGACAATGCTGCAGTCACTGGATGTAAACACATCTTTCAGGGCAATGAGCTTCTATTGTGTAAATGCACACTTCTATTAAAGGGGGCTATTTTTTCCCCCTAGTAAAACATACAGGCATTTTGCTCTCTAATTTATTAGCTGCAATGTCAACCAGCCTGGTAAAGTGCCAGGAAATCATTCTAGGAATAGGTAAACCTCTGTGGAAGATAGGGTATGATTTTGACCTGTGGATGGGTTGCAGCAGAAGGCAGCTGATCCCACAAAGACCCACTTCGATCCATGGATGGTTCCAGATTCTTGCAAAGCTTAGAGAATCTAAGGAAGAGTTCATCAAACCAGTGACACATCACATTTCACTCGAGTACGGCTTAGCAGCATGTTTAGACTGAGGGATGTGCCTAATTGTCTTGCTGGACCAAGGCTATACTTTCCAAGATGATGTTTTCTCCATTTATATCCATTTCGGTATCATTTGCATTTTCTTCTCATGCTATCAAGATCTGACGGGAAAGCACCAGCACGTGTACGTGTGTGCAATACTCAACACACACAGAGACGGGACTGACAGCTCTGTGAGACAAAGCTGAGAATGTCAGCATGTTCACTGGGAAGTTTTCCCTCCAGTTTATTGTAGGGTCTAACGACCTTCGCCAAGAGTCACAGTTAAAAATGGCGCTGATCAAATGAGCATTGCTCATTTTCTCCCTGCTCTCTTGCAAAAAGACCACCACCCGCTCCGTTTACTCAAATCACACACTCCGTTATCTGAACGCTTCCGCAAACATGTCCCTGAACTGTTAATCATTACCATGGGAAATAGTACACTCATCTATACAAATTAGAATGTAATTTGTGTATCTAAACATCACAGCCCAGCTCACCTGCTCTGCCTGACGAGACAGGATACCGCGAGCACTGATGAGCAAGTTCACATGGAATACAACTCGGGGGAAATGACAAATTACTCAGCAGCCTCAAATAACGGCAAATGGCTGTATAAAACCTGATTTTCTACGAAACAGACAGCACGTCAGTGGAAGTTGGTAAAGCGATACATTGCTGAGCGCTGGATGCAGCCCTGGCTGTACACAGGGCAAAAGGCACCAGGAGCCCCTCTGCTTGCTCGGCGCGGCCCACCTGCGGGATCAGCTTCGGCTCCGATGGGGAAGCTGCAGCTGCCGGCGGATCCAGGCCGGCCGCAGGCAGGCGGCTCCAGAGGAGAAGGGAAGCCTTGAGGAAGACGCGGCAGAACTTCTTCCTCCCCGTGATCCCGCTCGGCTCCCTGGCCATGCTGCTACCAGGCGGGGTTGGTAAAGGGATGGATTTAAAATGGCCCCTCTCTGGAGGGTCTGACACACCAACAAAGCCCTACAGCCTCCAGAAATGTGGAAAAAAAAAAAAAAACCTCTGCGGGAGCGACCTGCCGGGGAAGGCCGGCGGCGGCTCCATCTGAAGGTGGAAGGTGGGGTGAGCGGGACTCCTGCTCCCCCGGCTTGAGGGGACATCCCCTGCCCACCCTGGGACTGGGGACCGGTGCTGTGGGGACAGCAGCGATGGGGACGAGGGAGGTCAGGGCAGGCCGGAGGGCTCCCCACGGAGGGCTCGGCCACGGGGGAGGGGGTGTCCGGCCCTGTGTGGGGCACAGAGCCCCTCATACGCCGGGC